TAAACTGTTTTCTGTCAACAGGTGCTTCTCCAGATGCTTTTAAAACTGCCCTGGTCAAGTCACTACTGAAAAAGAGTAGCACAGATCCTTCCATACTCAATACTTTTAGACCCATTTCAAACCTTCCTTTTTAAATAAAGTTCTAGAAAATGTTATTTTCAAACAATTAAATGCATAAGAAATATCAAACAAAATATTTAAGAAATTTCTGTCTCTAACCCTAACGTTGAATTAGCTTATACTTAGTGGTGATGCACAAAATCCTTCTATTTTGGTCATATTGGGTCTTACTGCAGCATTCAATTCAGTTGATCACAAGATTCTAATCCACCATCTTGAATGCTGGGTAAGCCACGTTTAAGCCATATTTAATGAACAGACAGTTCTTTGTTTTACTGGGAAATCATTCATCAGAAATAGTTACATTTCTTATGGAGTTCCACAAGGTCCAATCTTAGGGCCTTTGCTTTTCTCTTTGTATACATTATTTCTCAGTGATGCAATCAGTATACACAATATCAGTTTTCAATATTTTTAACTATGGCAAACAATTCCAACTTTTATTAAGCAGTCCAGGTCGATACATGCTTTTAAGAGACATTTGAATCTATCTTTATCCATTTGCTCTATATTATTGCTTTATATGACTTCACATTAGTACTTAACTTTTATTTATTGATTTTTTTCCCTTCTATTGCTATCACTGAACAGTAGCTATAATAAAAGAAATCAAACTCAACTCTAATTCTTCTATTATTATTAAACTTTATCACTTCTCTGTAGACACAGATGTGAAAATTGCTCTATAATGTAATTACTTACTTTAAATAAAAAAAAAAACAGCAGAACAGATCTTATTTTAAATGAACAAATGGTGTCCTCCTAGGCCTTCACTTTGGGATAAAAAATACCTCTATGATAATGCTAACTTCTGCTAGCATCCCTATGGGATTCTAGTAGTTTGTTAGCACTAAGCTAATGGTGATTCACATTATTCACATTACATTTTTTTGGCCATTCTAGATTAAACACAGCCATTTGAAGCTTCTAAAAGACATTCCATGCTTTACTTGAAGCTTGTGACAGACGTATTAGCATAAATTTTACCTTGTAGTAGGTTAACAGTGACTCTTTCAGTAGAGAGTTTTGGTATAGTGTGACCACTGCTGTCTTCCTCATTTCTAACATCCGACTAATTAGGCTGCTGCTCACATTTACAGTCAGTGATGTATCTTGAACTTCTAGAAGGACAGAAGGACCTCTTTTTTCTCACAAAATTTGTCCCGCCCATTGGAAATCAAAACATGGTGTGGTTGATTCCTCTGTCACTTCATATTTATGCTGATAGTTAATCTAATGCAGTATGATTCTATTGAACAAAAATGAACAAATTATAGACATTTTTTATTTTCCAAAAATCATGTAGAAAGCCCTGAGAGTTCCACTTTGGTGTCCACAAATCTTTGATTAGAAGTGTCAAAGACGTCATTCTGAATCGAGACCATAATACAAGGAGCCATGGGTTAAAACCGCTTTTAATTTTTCTGTGATTTCTGGTCCCTGACTTCAGCTTTAACCACTCTCTACCAGTTGTAAGTAAAGACTACTGGTATGACTCTGGTATAACTGAAAGATGTTTGCTACTCATATGGGTTTATTCAAGCTAAACCTTCTTATTTACCAGTTCTAGACAATTCAGTGACTTGGATGACTTGAAACCTTCACAGAGAACACTTAATCATTACTGGCTGTTACCTCTGGTGCTACGTTTGCATTCCTCCCCCACACAATAAATTTAAACCTTCATTTGCTTGCCTTCTCACTGCTGACTGAGACTGGTTAGAGATATGTCAGTGGCCCAGGTCTGAACTTGCTCATAACCCGATTTGGCGGGCCTCCAGCAAACTCCATGTGAACCCTGGTGCTGTTCCCCAGTCTCTGGTTTAGGGGAGAGTGGGGGAGGGAAGGAGAACAGGCAGGGTCAATTGACAAAGGAGTAGAGTTTCACTGTTTGTGGGGGCTAAGGAGAACCTATTCAGTTTTTTTTCTAACTATACTATATACTGCATCTACTGTAACATGCAATTACACTTTTTTTTGTTATTTTGCTTCCCTCTGCATTGTTGACTTTCTGCATTGTTGATTTGTGAGCTGATACGTAGCCATGGCCATCAGTCTCATACATTATTGCCATAGGTACACAATGAGTTGTTTAAGTCAATAAGCATTGGAGACACCAGAAAAAGATTATCAGTGTATTTACAATGACCGTAAATCAATACTGACAAGAGCAAAAGGTAGAACAGTTTCATTTACAAATACTGTGACAATACAGTTGTAACAAAATATGATAGGATATGTATGAAGTCACACGTAAGCAAAGGTATCATTAAAAGCTTGACTATATAAACGGACATTGTCTGTGAGTGGTCAGCGTGAGGCTGATTGAAGATAAAACAAAGGAAGTCAAAGCCCTCTAAGAGTCTGTTTGCAGGGGGAAGATCGTAGACAAGAGCAAATGAAGCAGATATTCAATGAACAGTAGTCAACTCTCTATAATACAGTCAAAGGCCTGAATTATTCTGTCATATTGGAAGGAAGAAGTTTTGTTGGCTTTTTCATACTTTTCCTTTACTCTCAACTCTCAGGCAATCTTGTTTCTTGTTTCATAGTTTTGTGTTATGTAAAAGCTCTCTCTCCCTCCCCACTCCTCTGTCTCTCCGTCATTCATTTTCTTACATTTGTTACATTTCGTTATTGTGTACTGACAACAGGAGATTGGAAGACAGCATGTATTAGTACTTACTGACAGCTGAGTAATACCTCATCTATCTCTCTTTCCTTCATTTTCATTCAATCCCCCTATTTCTGAGCATCTCTGGCTCAATTCGAAATGAAATTTGTATAATGTTGTAGGCTTTATGTCTCCTGTTGTGGTCCCAGTTACAGAGCTGGGGGAGGGAAAGTGTTTTGTGAGTGTGTGTGTGTGTGTGTGGTGGGGAATTGTCCTCTGTGAGAGAATGCTGGGTCGCCTCTGCTCCAGCTGTCCAAGTGTTTATTGATCAGTCCTAGGCCCTGAGGGTGCAGAGGGCCAGATCATAACAACTAGCACCTGCCCCGCTGCCCTCGCCGAGAACCAGATTCCAGAGAGGCATAAATAGAGCTACCATGGAGCAGCCTGGCCACACGCTCTTGATGCAGATCCTCCATCGAATCAGCTGTGTTTTGAGTACACAGAGTACACAGAATCTTGGATGACCCGCGCATGCTCTTGAAATGGTACTGCTCATTGGAATTGCTAGTTAAGAATTCAACTGAAATATTCAGTGTGTGGACCATAACTTATACTATTTACTCAGTGTTATGTACTTAAATTACATTTGATGGCATGTACCTTGAGTATATGGGAATCATAATATTTATGCTCAAGTATATTTATAAGGAAAACAGTCTACTTTGTCCTCTATTTTATTTTTGCCAGTTACATTTAGTCACTAATCCTTTTCTTGAATTTAATTTCATTCGATTCTGTTGCTGACAGCATCTTGACTGCTTTGCTGTCACCCACACCTATCACTTTCAAATATTATGGTCTTATTTTAGACCAAACATACCACAAGAAGAGAGGACTTCTGCCCAACAAACATCAGATCCTATGCTGAGTGTACTAACGGTTCCATAGAGAGTTTCTATACTTTTTATACAGGTTGTTTTTGGCTAAGGAAAAGGATGATTTTACTCTTTAGTCTAAAACATTTAGCATACTGTTAAGGCTAACACGTTTACTGTTGTTGGTTTTACGTTTTATATTATGAGTACACGGGTTTAGGCTGCAAATATATTGGATAATCTTATACATTTGGTCAGCTCGAATATATGAAGCTAAAACAATAGCAATAACACCATTTAAATGCGAATAAATAGCAGTTTGCGCCTTTGACAGGTCGCCGCAGTTCAGCGGGGTTGCCGTTCCCGCTTTGGGAATTTCCCTTCCACGTGTCTGGTTGCAAGAAAGAGGGCGGGATCATAACAAATACTCTGATTGGCTAGAAAGCCACGTGACCGCCGAGTCTTAAAGGCGTATTCCATTATTTGGAAGCGCACAGTGCTTTTTAGAAATAGAACGTAGTGACGCTATAACATGATTAGCGTTACCTGCTCATATCTTGTGATATTATGTGATTATTTTTCACTCAATGTCTAGCTTAGTCAATTTACATGATCAATTCATCAGTGCGACATACAATTAGGTTAATTAGGTCGGCTGTAGGCACAAAAAACATGCTATTGTGTGGGAAATGGCCAGTTCATGCAAAACGTGATAATATTGCATGTTAAACAATTAGAACTATGCTCTTAAAAAAGTTAATATTTTTAAACAAGTGGTTCTTAGTTCTGGTACCTCCATGTCCTGCACATTGTTTTTTTTTCTCTTCTCCAACATTCCTTGTTCAACTAGTCAGTGAATTCTGAATTCTCATCCTAAGTAGAATTGGTTGTTTTAGAGCAGAGAAAACATTATTACAGGGGTTCGCTATCCCAGTTCTGACCTCGTACTCTGCACATTTTTGTATTTTCCCTACTATGACACATCGCTTGGTAATTCGTTAATGCGTTGAATCAGGCGTGCTAGATGAGGGAAAACACAAAAATGTGCATAGTGTTGGGTCTCAAGACTGGAACTGGGAAGCCCTGCATTAAACTGTGCAGGGGGAGAAGACTCCAGGAGGTCAACTAGGACTTCAAAGTAAGATGACTCAAAACTGAGGATAGTCTCCTCTTATTTGGCAGACTTTACTTGTGGCTTAAGTGAATAGGCAAATTAAGAAATTCTACTTTGTGAAATTTACCCCAGGGGCAGCGTTGAACGCTGCTGCTGTAAATAAGAACGAAACGGGTCACTGGCCCTTTAAAAGAAGTTTATTGACAAGGCTGATGTGACGTGGCCCTAGGGGGCGGGGTCAGAGGCGGTGACGTAGATGGAAATGAGGCTTTGCGGGTGGAGATGAAGAGCAGAATGAGGAGAGAAGTGGAGAGAAGAGGAGCAGAGATCGCTCTAGCGGTAATCTGGCTGGACATAAAGGACTTTAAAACAGAACGACCAGAGGTAAATTTCGCGTACTAATTACTCGCACCGTGTACACATCACAATTAGGCATTACAGGTTTTGTTTGGATTTTGTCTGGTTTAGGTAACGCGAGTGGCTCTCTAGAGTCGGGCTTGGTGTTCAGTGTCACCACATACATAAAACGACGTCTAATCAGTCGTGTGGGATTTAAGCAGAGTGTGACGTTTACTTATACCGCGGGTGTTGCTTACAGCCAGTACAGTGTGACCGATACGCCGCTGTAAATATTCGCCGTGCTTTCTCCGAGGCATGGCTAACTCGGCTAGCTAGCTTAGCTTACTTGAAGTCGTAGTAGTAGCCGGGTGAGCCGCCTGAGCTGCCGTGCTACATTCACAGTTTTGCGCTCGCTAACTACTAATCCTGAAACCCAGACTAATTCTGTTCGACTGTAGTGAAAGCAGATTTTAGACAGTCAGTCAAGAAGTTATTTACGTACTGTAAACACTTAGCTAGCTAACTGTCTGAAATCGCGTTCTTTCCACATTTACCCGAAGTCTCCTCAGCGCGGTAACGTTAAGTGAGATAGGTTAACTTGCAGTGTAGCCAGACCGGTCGGAAGAGGTTAGCTTACACAACTGTGAGTGTTTTGGCAGTGGTTCACTGGCTTACACTTTTAGGACACATTCACTTTAATGTTCAGCGTTCAAATATAGCTAGTTAAATAGAATTACAGCACAAAACGCTTCGTAGAGTGACACTGATGCAACATAAAGCATGCGAGCGTGTTTGTAAACAAAACAGTCAGTCGCTAACGCTAAGTTACTACTTAACGCTTGTGCTGTAATAGCAATGTTGAACTATTATAACACGAAACGAAATGTAAAGACGGTTTTAACTCTACCGGCGAAATGAAAACTAATACTGAAACACTTGGGACAACTTTATCGAGATGTTAGGCTAAAATTGTGACACTTTGCGGGGTCGCCGCACGGTGAACTCCCGCACACTAACCTGGATGTTTTGACTTGGTAGGTTAGTGATGTAGAACAAGCTTCTTTATAATACTGAGTCAAACATTGACCGGTGCGAGCAGCATAGCTAACTAATGTAATCAGCGTGAGGTTAAGTTGGCGCGAGTATGTAGTGTAAAAAGCGTTCGGCTCAATTGAGGGTATTTGCATTGTTTGCATTGCAAATGAAACGCTAAGCGGACTGTTGTAGAAGTGAGCTGATAGTGCCAGCAATGTTTTTATGAAAATAGTGACATGTAAAATCTCACTTCTCAGCACGAACAAAAGCACGGATATATCCACTCTGAGCTGAACTCGGTCACTGGGACAGGAAGCCTTCAAGAACTTTCAGTGGCTTTTCTCGACGTTTACTTGCCTGCTTGACTTTGTGAACTGCAGAAGTTCAGGTGTGTGATTATCTAACCTGCGGCGGTGTTTTTAAGTGCCATGTTGAGGCGCCTTTGTCACCTAGTGATTCCACTGCGAGCGGTTACAGGTCGGACTGGTCTCTTAGTTCTCTCTTAGGTTTCTGTGTTGACTAACTAGCGTTTTGTTGTTTTGACCACTTTGATCCGCGTTTCCGCTCAGCTGTATCTCATTTGTTCAGAGAAAGTCTGGACTGACCGTGATACTGGCCTTGCTGAGTGGTTAAATTGTGTTACGGTAGCAGTATGTAGTAACTGATTGTGGTTCATTTGAGGAAATAGTATAACTTGTTCAATTCAGGAGTTTCAGTTGAGGGATTCAATGAACATTGGGCATCTTCAGGCATAGTGTCCACTGTGTATTTGTGTTTTGTGTTTTTATGTGCACAGAACAGCAGAGGGAGCTGTATGTCACTTTGCTGTGAGTGAGTCCACACTCGGTGCAGTTTGAATGTAGTGGACATGGCTTTGAAGTGAATACAGCTACATCAGTTGTTCATGCACGAAGTGTTCATACTAAAAAATAATGGCCTAAGTTCTCTTAGTTGGTAGCACCCATTTCGAGTTTAAACATTAGGTCATGATTACTTATGTAGGAGAACAGTCAATTTAGCTTTGTGCCCAGTTTCAATTATTTGTCATTACTATGGTCACTAATGATTTGCTGTGGATATTTTTAGACAGTTGCCGTGGTCCATTGACTTCATAAAATAGGCCTACTGGTGTCTGAGTATGTACATGAACATTAAGTTACAGTTCACAAAGCCTATTCCCAACCAAAATACAGTGATGGAAAGCTTCTGTTTTGTGTGTGTGTGTTTGCCTTTTTTTCTGTGTCTTGTGCAGCGTAATTGTTATGTGGGATCGACATGGTGGCATTTCGGGGACAAACAGTCTCAGCTGCTGCGTCCAGAATTGTCGTTATTCACAAAAACCACACGGACTCCACCACAGAACACGGAGCAAGTAGGCGACACAGTTTCTGCCGGTGCTTTGCCAAACCACTGGAAAGTTAAATATAGTAAAGCAATTGTCTAATCGTAGACCCAATGTGTGGTTTCATTGCTGTTATTTATCTAAATCAGCACGACAAGCGCCCACAAGCTAAGCGAATCTTTACTGTTATTATCCTACAGCTGAAGTGCTGGCTATGAGTTGTAAGCAGTTTCTGTTTAGACTTGGAATCAGGGTGTTTTTGTGCATGCCAAGGAAAGGTTTGCATGTATGAAAGTGTGTGTGCATTTGTATGTGTGTTTGTTTTTGTGGGTTTTCAGGACAGGAATGTCCTAACTTTGTTGAATACCAACAATGTGAGGACTAGCAAAATAGTTATGTTTCTAATTTCTATAACAGAATCAAAACTATTGCTTTTTGGTCACAGTAATTAAGGCTAGGGTCAGGTTTGAGGTTAGGCTTAATTTTGTTTTATTACATATATGTAGGTATACATATGTAATACATATGGGACCTGTGTATGGCTGCACGTCCTGGCGAGATTTAAAAACATGAATGTACTTGTATGTATGTTCTTGACCACATAGTTTCATTGTGTTTGTAAAAGTCATGTTGACAATGTTAATGAACGATGACAATGATAAGAATCTTTGCTGTATGTGTTTGCAGGTGGACAGTGTGCGAGATCCTGCTCATGGATGAAGATGAAGATGATGTGTTTGTAATGGATACACAACATTGGCGTTCCTCAATCAGGGAGATAAAGCAGGAGGAGCGGGGCACTCAGACTCCGGGGCGGCCGTCAGCTCGGCCCAACGGCATGCTGCCCTGCGGAGTGTCTGAGGAGCCAAGACGCCTATTCTATGGTAAGCTTAGATCTTACAAATGAAAGAGAATGACTGCTTTCATAGGTGCTGAGTTTGTCTGCAGTATTGCAGTAAAAGGTTTCTGCAGTAAACAGTCATAGACCACTCTTCGTTTATTTGATTTCCATTGAAAATGGCCATTATCCCCTTAAAGTTTTATTACACACTTCTATAACATAAGAATAGCTCAGCCAGTTTGCATTGAAGTTCCTGTAGTTACAGACTAATAAGCCTTAATATGTAATAAGCCTGGGATTTTACAGGGTTAAAGACAAAATATATATATATATACACACATATATATATGTGTGTGTATGTATGTGTGTGTGTGTGTGTGTGTGTACATGCACAGTACTGTACCTGTTGGTTTCTTCTCCCTCCTCTTCAAGCCTTTGTGGCGTCTAATACTCCTGGCCTCTGCTGCTTTTATTACCTGTGTGTGTACCCAGTCACTTTGCAATTTAAATGACTGCACGCTAGGGTTGTTCCTCTGGCAGAGTGCCTGGCCATGGACACATAGCCACTTGTGGAGCTTAACTCAACTGTCTGCACCATCTGCATTTGTGTACGAATGGCCTCTTGTACAGTTACTTTTTTAGTTGCACTGTCCAACAACCAGTATCCGATTTACAACTAGGGCTGCCATGATTGCCTCAGTATTTTTATTGCTCATTTTTCTGAAGAAAATCTCAATGAATCGGTGATGATAGCTGGATGTTTGCATGGTGATGCATATTTTAAATTCTCCTACTGATTTCTCTCATAGTCTAATTGACACTCTTTGTCACTGTATAACAGACTTAATTTCAACATCACTTATCACTCTGAAAAGCTTGAGTAAGTAGCATGATTACATCTGTGTAAGAGACAAGTCTGCATTCTGTGTCCTCTGAGCTCTTCGGGGTCAACCTTTTGATGAACTTTGCCATCCCAAGCAGGAACTTCATTGTCAACTTCTGTTAATGTTAAGTTAGACCTTTATGACTCATGTCTTCTTGTGATGAGATTACTTCTGTGTTTTTAAAAAAAGTGTTTCATTTTCATTCCTGCGGTCTGTAGTTTATTTTTTAAAACTTGTGAGCCTGAGGTTTAGAAACCACAACAAACAAGAAATTTTGGTCCTGACGTCAGATTTATTGATGCCTTAAGCACTTGCTAAAAGGATAACAATCTGGCCGGTGACTGGTCATTTGCTTGGACTCAATGAGCATAACATGCAGCAGTCTTAAACCCTGAAACTGCCAGTTCTCATTTACTTGCAACAAGCTATCCTTGCTGTCCCGAGAATGCGATGTTCTTGTAGTTCCCATGCTTATTAACACTATTGATTGCGCAATTAACACTATTGATTGACTGCTTATTAAGTATTGGTTTATTGACAACTTTTAGTTGTGTGGCGGTACTGAGCACTTCATATGTCAGGATTACCTTGTCCCTTCGTACATGTTGTTTTCTTGTGGTTTGTTACAGTAACGCATGTTTTCTCTTATATTAGGTAGTGCAGGATTGCTATTACTGGCACCATCTGCCCGTCCTGAACACGTTGAGGGTGCCATGCTTCAGGAGGACCAGCTCGCCATGGAGCCTCGGAGACGGCCCCCACACAGTGTGGAGGCCCGCATCGGTCAGAAGCTCCAGATGATTGGAGACCAGTTTTATCAAGAGCACATGCTGGTGAGTCAATTCATGCTCACAATTTCTGATTGTGTGTTGCCTCTTAACTCTGTTCTAAATGGGCTCAGGTGATATCAGACTTTCAGAAAGACAGTATATGTCATGAGCAAGTGTGTAAGATACAGTAGTATTTACTGTACAGTGATTTCTGAACATTTAATCCACCTCTCAACCCCTTTTAGCAGTAGCCATAATTCACACAACTACACATTTGATATGTGATATTGGTGCCAATGTCTGGAATATAGTTTAAGAGTATTCCTGGACTAAACTGCAATGCCAGTGATGAATCACTGTTGAAAATTCGTGGTTTTGTCTAGGTTTGGGTTTAAAGGGGTATTCCATCAAAAAACTGTGCATAATTAAATCATTCAATGTGGTTTGATGTGTTCCATTCTAAAGAACAGTGGTGGTGATAGGAACCAGACATCTGAAGCATATAATGCATCTAAAAGACATATCACAAGAACGTATTACAGAAATGGTTATGAATATGTTATTCGATGCCCGAGACATATTCTCATGATAGTTTTGAAAAAAGATTTTGGCCTAAAATGCATTTTTGAAACACATTCCTGACAGCCTGTTGTACATTAAGAAAGCATATTATTTTGCATTACTACTGTTTGCCATTATCAGCATCACAGGTAAAAACACAGAAGCCACATAGGTTTACTGGTTGTTTAGTAATGATACGTTTTTTAAAATGTTTGTTGTAGACATCTCGACTGCTGGTTCCTACTAGAAAATCTGAGTTAATACATTTCTCTATGATTAAACCACTCTGAATGATTTCACACTATCACTGTGTCACTGTTTGATCATATTAAATATTGTACTTTCTTAGCTAGAAGGAGCTCCCACTATCCTTTAATGATTTGTACTGTGTCAAATTTTGTCTCATTAGCTCTACAGCAACGCTGCAGCAGGCTTTGAGCTTAGTATTTGCTAATCGTGAGCGCTAACAATACCTTACAGGTAACAATACCTTAAATTACCTTAATTTAAACTCCACTAGAGGCTGGAATAGAATGAGGACCACCAACACTACTGTAGCCTTTGCCACCCCTGCTAAGAGTTTTAAAACTAAGGCATTTAGAGTAGCTTCAGTGCAAGTCTTTTTCCATGTCCTGCATTTGTTTTGGCCAGACTTTTCCTTGTTTTATCCCCATGACACTAAGCCCCCTCCCCTTCACTCACCACTCAAAGCTCAACTCACCCTATCCGTTCAGCTTCCTGTTTATTGCTCTTTCCCTCCTTCCCTCCTGTGTGTATGTGTGTGTGTGTGTGTGTGTGTGTCTGTCTGTCTGTCTGTCTGTGTGCAAATATCTGTAACGCTCCCGCTGCCCCCTATGGGGGGAGGAGTTGATGCAACACACGCAGCAATGACCAGCCAAGATTTTTGTCACTGATTTGTGTGACAGCGCACAAAGTGTTACTGCCACTGAGCTGGTGGATGTCCGCCCCTGGGCAAGAACAATGGCTCTTTGTTCTGCTCTGTTTCAGCAGCAAATTAGATAGGGTTAATGATACATTTTTGGCTGCCACTTTGGCTAACATGAGGTGTACTTGAAAAAGAGGTGCTATGAGGGTGATTACAGGAGCTAGAGAGAGAAAGAGAGAGAGATGGAGTTGTGCACTCACTCCCTGTGCACAGTAGTGCTGGGTGATATTGTTGATTTTACAGTTTTAGCAGTGTTGATGGATAACAAGCGTTATAACCATGATAACATTCTATTCTCTAAAGTAGCAGCTGCCAAACTGTTGTTTTTAGTTTTTCCATTCTGTTTTGTTCACTTTACACAAGATAGCCAGGAGCTGGCAGCTAACAGCGTTGTACATAACTGGCAAGGTGCTGTAGAATGTTTTGAAAGAATAATTCCAATTACACAAAAATGCAGTAAATAGTTGCCTTTTCTTTCTAGAAATCTGATTTATGTCTGGTCAGTGTTTACCATATTCTCTTTCCAAAACTGTTCTGTCGGAACAGCATGTCAGGTTTGTAAGACGTTCTTTTAGCATAGAGTACCAGTCCTCAGGGTTCATTCAAGAAATTCCACCTTTTTGTCAGTATTTCTGCATAATTACATGGTTATAATGTAAACAAAGTTATTTATAGTGGGTTGGTGTGAAATGTGCCATTCTAGAGAAGCTTACCAAATTAGAATTGTACACAGTTGTGGTGATAGGAACCAGACATCTCAATGCCTGTACATATTGCGCCCGCTAGGTTCTGTCACCACCACTATAAAGAAATCTGAGCCAGTAAACTTCTCTACATTGAGCCCTTTTACATCAAACCACTCTGAATGACTTTTCTTTATATCTCAATGAAAGAATGAATAATGCAGAAATCTGTGGACTGACATACAAACTATCATAAAATATCAGTTTTTGGAAACATTTAAATTTCATCACAGAAGAAGTGTTCTCTATACTAGAAGTGGACTGGCTCTATTAGCACTCCTGTTAGATTCTGATTCATTCATTGCACACAGTCCACTGTCATCCCAGCCCCTGTAATCATTTCTGAACACACCAGCGGCCATCATCTGCCATCAGTCTCTCTCTCGAATACACACGCAGAGGCAGAGAAAAAGCAAAAAGTGGCCAGGCAAGGTAAATAGGGTGGTAAGCCGAAGCTTGGCACGGGTGCTCTGGTGGTTAGGGAGACTCCAGCTAAGTCTTAACCGGCGTCGAGGGCACCCGCAAGAGACGACCAAATAAGAGGCTTCCTAGCCCCCCCCTCTTCTGCGCACACAGTCCACAAGTGAAGAGAAGCCTCAGGCCAGCGATACTACAGCCAGCCTGGTGCCAACTGCGATTTCCCAGTAATAATAAGATACTATTTTAGCTCTCGATCACAGAGAGCAATGCTGCTGCCAGAGGTTTTTGAGGCTCTTTGTGTTGTAGGGAGCTCTGCTGTCTGTCATGTAATGGAGATGGTACTTTTCTTTTTGCCTCAATTTGGCACTATTTCCCTTTCTCTCCCACTGAAAGGACTGTAACTTTATTATAGATGAGCACAGGTTTTAAAGGAGTAGTTTGATGTCAGACTTTCACAGTTTACTCCAAATGTAGACTTTTAGCCAAGATATGCTTGTGTATAGTACTTTAGTTTTGCACTGAATCTACAAGTCAAATGTATCTGACAAGTAGTGGAATGTCGTATTTTAAACTGCATACCTAAATTATCACACACTTTTTTTGGAGTCAAACTGTGAAGTCATCCCAGATTGACTTGTTTATGTTGTTTCTAACACAGTATGACAAACAAGTCTTTAAGAATGGACAGAAGTAAGGCAAAATGCAGAGATGGCTGCCATAGCTGTCATACTTTTTATTTAGGGGTGGGCAATTCCACAATATTTTATTATTATTGTGATAAACAATATGTTTTTATGAGCATACTGAGGATATCGTCTGTAATTAAAGAACACTGACCAACTGCATATATCATTATATAGAGAGCATAGTTAGGCCTGGATTTAGTGCAGTACAGTATGTGAAATGTTGTCTAAAACGCATTGTACTTTGGCTATACAGTTGTTTCTGTACATTTTACTCAACGCTATTTTTATGGGGAAAAAAACTGTGCACAGCTTTTTAAGCAGTTACTCTAATGGAAATCAGATTTCAGAGTGTCAAGGTGTCTTAGCTTGAGGTAGAATAGTACTGTAAATGACAAAACGGATATGCACAGGTCCGTATAGGCTCCATATAGTGTTTGTACAGGTATATAGAGTCCTTATAGAGGCCTATAAAGGGTAGCTCATCTAGTTGACTTCAGGTGCACCAAACAAAAAAAAAAAAACAAACCCAGACCTATTAGACAGGCTTTAGTGCCCCTGCTCTCCTCCTCTACTCCTTGCTGCTATTCTTGGCTGTGTGGTTTGATTGTGTAATTTACTCCTTAACGTTGAGTTAAGTAGGCAACCTCAGTGTTGTCAACACTTTTTTTTTCAGTTTCTCTTCCTTGTGTCTTTGTTTCTTTTCTTTTGGTTTCTTTGTTGCTTTTCTTTTTTTGTTCATCTCATTCTTGTTGTCTCATTTCATATGATGGCGTCTGTGTACCTGACAGGCACTATTAGATTCTTCATGGACAGATGTATAAATTTACTCACTACCCAGTCAGATATCCTAAGTAACTCATGTCTCTGGAGGTATTTTGTAGTCCTGTGGTGCAACAACGGATTTCATGCTTGTTAATATACATTTATCTTTGTTTATCATTTTTAAAGGACCATATCCTACATTTTTATTGTATGTACCCTTTTTCTCTAATGTCCACTTACAGAATTATGTGGTTTTATGTACCAAAAACAGTCAGAATTTATTTTACAGATCCATGATCATTCTAACAACTCCTTACAATTAAACAGGCTGTTTTGTTGCTGCTCCTTTGAGACTGATTTATGTAAATAATCTCTGTTCTGACTGGCTGGCCTGTATTGTGCTTCATATAAGCAGTCTGGTCTGAAACTCTCTTTGTAACTTATAACTGCTGTAGGCTGTAAATGCATCACTTCATGATGTCACAAAAACACAACATTCATGAGATTTTCTTTTTGTTTCTGTTAATTTAATTTAGGTTGGAATGTTCAGCTCTGATCCTGAAAGGCCTTAGTCCAGCAAAGTTTCAACTGATCCAATTTATAAGTTAATTACTAGGCTTAGTAAGTGTTTTGTAGGTGTTTTAAGAAGAGTAAATGCCGAACTGTGCCAAACTCTGGACCTCCCAGACTGATTTTCCTTGGTTTTGTGATTCATTCTCTTGTGATTCATTGTTTTGTCTTGCATGAATGTGATGTCGCTGTGTTTGTGTGGGGACGAGGGGTCATAGTGATGTTAGCACAACTCTTTAACTGCCTAATAACAGAATTTGATGGACTTGGAATGTGTTGGCATAAGACCCATGGGACTGTTAGTTACTTGAAGTATAAAGAGTGAACCTTATGTAATGAAAGCTGCTTACAGCTAAATGTGACACAGAGCAAAGG